GCAGCTCATAGATTTAAATCATTAAACTTTATCAGATGATAAATATAATTGCATGTGTTGACAAAGGATATCAAAAATAGTGTAAATGTTTTACTGAAGAATTGATTTCGGAAGAGCTATATGCCTCCTGTATAAACATAAATAGACATTTTACAACCTTTGTATTATAATCTTTGTAAGGAAGACTGAATGATATATGTATTATAGTGTAAATCACAGTATTTTCTTTGTCATGTATGAATATCAAACAGAATTGCACACAGAACTTGAACCCACGCGATAGTGGTTCATAAATGTCAATTATTAACTAATCACCTGACAATATTTCAAAGATAAAGTGAACTTTAGGAAAGAATTTTAAGAGAAAAAAACCGTTTAGATTTATCGAGATGTGAACTTTGAAGACGTCTTATAATAACATTGTCAATGTTTGTTTCGGGGCCTCTTACATCATTTGAGGCTACGTGCAAGGTACGATATCATTTGCCATGTTAAGCACTATCCTATTATTAGGGGTTCGTCAGGGCGTAAGAAATACATCAAATTAACTCCTCCACTGTTGAATTATCCTTGTCACGTATACTTAATACATTGTAGACTCGCTTCCAGTAGGACATGTGAATACAAATTATACTGATATAACATTTGGGGGTTATAGTAGACTTTCCTCGAATTTAGGTATTCATATAATACACGATGATAGAGGTGTCGTGGTCCAATGGATTCATCATCGGGCTGTAGATCATAGGGTTCGCGTTTCGAGTCTCGCCGCAGCACTAATTGCTTTTTGTAAGACATTAATCTACAATAGCCATTCCACACCATATTTACTTTAATAATGGGTACCTAGTAGGAATTTATTTCATGAATGCTTTTAACCTCAGGGTTAAATTCAGGGCAATACTACTAAATTGTATTGGGGCCTTGAGCATCCCCTAGGATGAATTTATGCGGTATGTACATGTATCTAGTATTATTGTTGTTATATTGACTTGACCGTACTGACTGGCAGAAATCAGGTAAAGGCCTAATTATAGTTGGAGGGCAAGACCTCAACATATCTGTGCACTGGCTGTGGTTTATAAACTTTATTTAATATCAACACCATTTACCAATGGTTAATCATGATAACAAAATTACACATGGATAGTTTGTCAAATTGTATTTTATTTAGCTTGCAAACATTCACACCGATACGCAACTGTAATGGCAATCACATTCCTACTTCAATAGCATTGACATTATGACAGATATACTCCTACAAAACAAAATAAGATTGAGTAAAAAAAAAAATTAAAAAAAAAAGAAATTACGAAGACTTTCACACATACTATGACAACAGCAACGACATTCACAAAAACGCATCTCTACCAAATCGACACACTCTACAAAGCATTGTTTTTATAAAATGAGAATGTAGATTGATAACTATCTTAAGCGCAAGTAATGTGAAAGCATTTCGAGGTAGAAGGGCTCTCACAAAATGTGATGCCTTTTCCAATATGAAATGTGTGCAAACGACGATATTTTTTACAAATCATTTCCAAAGTTAGTGAAAGGTTGGGATAAGAGTAGGCCTTCTTCGTATAATTATATCATCCTATTTTTATTTATACAAAACAAATGCTGAATTTGCCCCCTACCTACTATAAGCTCAGAACCAACAAATAACTGTTCCACGCACGCTCTGTGACATGATATGCAAGTGGTACATGGGTGTCGTATTGAAAATCGGTAGCAGAGAATAATCTTTCAGTGGGATATTCACTGTAATTGAAATACTTAGCTTGCCAACATTCTCCTAAGCATCGATTCGTAAAATGCAACATTTCTTTTTCTTTCCGCAATAATACAATTAAAAACAGTAAACACGGCCATGGTTATTTATATAACATCTCTATACTCCTACTCTTCAGATATGTACCGCCTGCAATACTATTTCATGAATATTGGTAATGTTGGTCTCCTGAAAATTATCATGGATACTTTAGTAAAACACTAACAACAATAATAACCAATACTACTCCTACTACATGTATGACTAAAACAGCATGAACAACAACAATTACTACTACTACGACTTCGTATACTATTATTACTGCTACTACTAGTACTAGTACTACTACTACAACTATTACTCTTTATATTTGTATAACTACACTGAAGCCAATACAATTAATACCATTACTCCACCATAAGTAAATGCCCAAACTGTCGTACTGTTCATTGACAGAGACGCTGCATGGATATTTTTTATTAAACGAATATTTTATGAAAATCTGTATGATCTGACGTAACATTGTACTTATCATGGTTATATATAACAGCAGCACAGTATGTAACCCCTTACACACGAACACAGCTCACACGCAACATACATACACACACGCACACATCCTGACTATATATATATATATATATATATATATATATATATATATACAAAACATTCACAATGCAGTATTTCCTTTCACACATTTTACCGAATCAATTCGATTAATTGCAAAACATGATGCATCTCAATTGCTTTAATACAAAATATCAAATCATGGTAACCACAATTGCACTTAATAGGAAATGAGATTTGTTGATGAAATTATTATGTCAATATTAATACTTTGTCAATGTGTGCTTCGAAACCATATTTTGAATATATAGGAGCAAAAGCACAAACAAATAGGGGCATACATATATCTACAAACGTACATGTCCATACAAAACTCAGTGCTCAATATTTTCCCTAACATTTTTCAAACTACAATATCACTATAGAGCTTCATACGCAAAATCAATATGTACGCCTTAAGAATCATTTTCCACCAAATTGCTAGAATGTACCATTCAACCGTTTTGATATAACCATAACTTCTCAAAACGATTGGATTAAGCGGCTCTGCGATACTGTCACCCTTATGAAGAAGTATGACATAAGTTTACTCGTATATAATCAAGCAAAAACGACCGTATCCACCGTGCAAGACACATTCACTGTTGGTCATAAAGGTGGAGAAAAAAAATTAGTCTAATTTATGGAATGATTTTGACAATGATTATTTTTAATAGATCTGGATAATAGTATACATTCTCAAATTGTATTGAATAATAATTGACGAGTGTTTATTTTGCGTGACCGCTAAAGCATGTGTATGCTATTATGTTTACAAACTACACTGTTAAAAAAAACAGTAGATTTTACAGAGAAAAAAATACAGAACCATTCTTTAAAGTGTTGTAACAGCAAATTTTCTGTAATTTAACAGGACAAATGTCTAGAAAAAATGAAGATTTTGTTTTTTTACAGGCAATTTGCGTGATTTCAGATCCCATATACAGATTTTTTACAATTCTACGGAATGTTCTTTTTTTATTAAGAAAACTTCATTTTTTAACGGATAATAAAAAAGAAATTACAGAAAACAAAAATACAGAACCATTCTGTAAATTGATGTAACTGGAATTTTCTGCAATTTAACAGGACAGATTTCTATAAGAAGGGGAGATGTTTTTTTTTAATAGGAATTCTGTATGCTTTCAGATCCAATATGCAGATTTATTATGATTCTACAGAGCGTTTTTTTTCTTCAAAGTAAACCTCATGTTTTAATGAATAAAAAGAAAGAATCTACAGAAATTAAAATACAGATTCATTCTGTAAAAATGTAAACTAGAAACTTTCTGCAATTTAACAGATCTCTAAAAAGAAGATCCCATGTAAATAAATGGAGTGTCTTTTTATTCAAAGTAAACCTCATGTTTTAATGAATAAAAAAAATACAGGAAACAATAATACAGAACCACTCTGATAATTAATGTTACTTGACATTTTCTGCTGTGAAAAGGACGGATCTCTCTCCCTCTCTAAAAAAAGGATTGTTTTTTTCTTTATGGAAATTCGTAGGCCTATGTTTTTAAGCAGATTTTGCTTTTAATTCTACAAAGTGTCGATTTATTCAAAGCAATCTCATTTAGTTTAATGAATAAAAAAGACAGAATTTATAGAGGAAAATACCGTAAACAATTCTGTAAAATTAATAGCTGAATTTCACTGCAATTTGACAGAAATCTAAAAAAGAAGTTGATGAGGGTTTTTTTTCAAGGACATTCAGATCCCCTATAGATATTTAATGTTCTACAAAATACCCTTTTCAATTTAAAAAAAAAAGACCTTAACTGCCTTTTAATGCCTTAAACTCAACAACGTAAAATAATTTGCGGTAAAAATACAAAACCTTTCTGTTAATTGACTCAAGCTGCCGAATTCGGGCACATTTAAAAGGGAAAGAAGATTTCGTTTTTACCGGAAATTAGTCTGCTTTTATCAGAGGTTATGCTTTATATAGGCCTAAATTTTAGTAGGCTAGGCATAATTATATATATACTTCAAAGTTCATGTAGACCTCTCAGAAATCTTTTTTTTTTATGCCATAAAAACAACACGAACTCCCACGAACTGAAACTGTAACTATACCGGTACCGTAATTTTTCTGCATCTTCTTAATCTTCTTCTTTTTCTTCTTTTCTATTCTTTTTTTCTTTTTTCTAACAGGAAGTTTTAATAGTGCTTTCATATCTTATTCAGATTTCTGTTTTTTTATTTTATTTTTTCTTTCTTTTCTTTTTTCTTGCCGCCAACTTTTTTGTTACCGTTAGCGATAGCGTGTAACATGCATGCGTGCACTTCGTTCGCGCCCATATGCATGGCGATCGATCAGATCAGAACGAACCGGCCGGGCGCGCCGGGCCAGCGCCAGCTATAGCTTGCTAGCTGCTTGCACTCGCACGCGCGCGCCATGCATTAATTGTGCATGTTTACCATGATGTGTACGTACGTACATGTACAGTGCAGCATAGAAGTTATCTAGTTAGCACTATGAACATGACAGACAATGAAAGCGGACAAAATATACAGTTCCTCAGGAAAACAAAGGAACATCCCTTCACTGCTATTATGTAAAAATGTGTAGAACAGGTGAATATGCATGTGACACCTGTTCTACACATTTTTACATAATAGCAGTGAAGGGCTGTCCCTTTGTCTACCTGAGGAACTGTATATTTTGTCCGCTTTTATTGTCTGTCATGTTCATAGTGTAGTCTGATCTATGTACATAATGCATGCAGTACATACCTGCGAAGTTCGTTCGTGAGCTGAGCCTGGGCCTGCCTGTGATTTGAATTGGATTGGGTAAGTCGATTGTCAATTAAAGTCTCTTTTTCGTTAGGTATTATAACAAGAATTTCAATGTAGTGTTTATAGTATTAAGAATTGAGTTTGTTGGTGATCACCACGATGAGATTTAAGTCGGATAGAACTCGAGAATTTATGCTTAAACTCTAGTAAAGTAAGCTAGACCGATTAAATCTGTCTCTGTTTGGGGTAGACCGAAGGCTCCGGCCGTGTGTGTCGCTCTCAGTCATTAACATACGGACATTCTCTTTTTACCCTCTGAGTGGAGAGAGGGTAAAAAGAGAATGTCCGTATGTTAATGACTGAGAGCGACACACACGGCCGGAACCTTCGGTCTATGTTTGGGGGACCTAGTATTTACAGTACGGTCATTAACGGGGAGGGCCGCCCGATTAATGACCGTACTGTAAATACTAGGCCCCCCAAAACAGAGACAGATTTAATCGGTCTAAAACTCTAGTAGAATCTAGTAGACTCTAGACTAGACTAGAGTCTAGTCTAGGACTAGGTCTATTTAATGTACCTCTCTATGCAAGAGGAATTCATGCTCTCTCCTTCTCTCCTTGGTGGTGCATTATTCCATTGAACTTGATGAGTTGGAAGAAAACCACCTACGGAATATTGACAATAACCTCCACCATGGTATCCTTGTGATATATTACCGTCCTTCATCTCTCCCTCTCTCTCTTTTCTCTTGTCTGTTCTCTTTCTATCTTTAATCTAAACTCCTCAAAAAAAAGTCCTGCAGATCAATTTTGAGCCTTAATATCTTTTTTGCTCCTTTTCTATGATTATTGAATTTGATATCAATGGAAGGTTCATTTATTCCCCTTTACATTGATACCTCATTTGTAATGGTTATTTTATGCTTGAATGCACAGTACTACTGAATACAGATCAAAGTCAGAAGTGAAAAGTTGCTAAATGAATGGCTATTGTTCACATCGAGTTCTTAACTGGTATGAAAAGCTTTTGTGATTTTTTTCTTGCTTGTTTGTTAGTTTGTTTGTTTACTTTGTTCATTATTCGTACATTTCAATGCTGTATATTCATGTTTGAAGGACAAAAAATGTTTCAATAAATTTCAGGTGGTATTTGTTTTTTTTGTTTTGGCAAGAAGAGGTGTTTTAATCACCAGCTTATGGTTAGAGCACTACTTGTGTTTTGATTTCATACAGATTATTGCAAGTTGCTAGCTTAGTATCAGTCCATAACGGAATTGGAAACAAAATCGCTCCTCACATCATTTCATTTTCAGCCATATCCAACCAATAAAACAAACATAAGCAGAAACAGACCCCCCCCCCCCTGCAGGAATCCCGCAAGCAGCTTTTTATTGCCAATCCTCATATTTTATCATAGTCAAAACGATGGGGAATGTGGGAAAGCCACTATAAAAAGATGCATTTATAGCAGGATTCCTGCTATAAGACAAGGTACAGACTTTTGACAAGTTGTTTAAGTCATTATTTTCCAAGTCGACATATTTTCTTTCGTTTCAATATTCAAATTTCGAGAAGTTAAGCGTAGTTAGAAGTATGAAGATTAATTTGCAAGATAACATCTCTGTTTGTATGTATTTTCAGGGAACTCATTGGCATCAGTCCTGGGGGTCCAGTAAAGAGTGGAGGAAAGAAGAAGAAGAAATCGGCCGTGTCTCCAAAGATAATTGCCCTCCTTCGTGGAATCGTAGAGTTCGAATCTGACTGGAAAACAGAGTAGCAGACATCCAGCTCTCATTTTTTATGCTTCTGTCAATTTGTTTTGAGATGTGCTTTATTATGCACGATTTTTATTGTGACGAATACATGGATGAGACAATGTGATGTAAGAAACCTGTAAATTTCTATTATTTGTGCCTCATCTTGAAAGCCTTTTCTCAACATCCCCAACATAATGCAAATAAAATATATATAAGTATTAGTATAGTATAGGATGTATGCATCCAGATGTGAAAGGCTTTGATTTTTGGAAAGAGCCAAGATAGTCCTTGCCAAGGAACAAAGTGAGTTTTTTAGATTTTGTTGGTAATGTAAGAAAACCTCAGCAGGTCCTATTTATAATTTTATACCTATATAATTTGTATATTTGTTCTTTTGAAGGTTGTTTATAGTGTTTTCTTGATGATATATGCTACAGTATGCAAACATTATACCATGTTGGTGTTTACCCTGGTCAACTTTATATACAGGGTGTCCCATGAACAATGCCTGACACACTTCTGATAGCACACAGATCAACTTATTAATACCATTGGTAAGAGCAACATTTCCTTAAGGCCCTGTCACATTAGGCTTGCATGTGACTTGCAAGGAAATTTGTTTTGCTACCCAGGGGTCTGCGATACTGCGATACAACAATATTACATTTTGAAATAGTTGAGAAGAGGATCGGTTGAAAAATACAAATTTTTGAGGTGCTGAGTATGTACTAATTTGTGTTTTCAAAGGTTGGCAGCTATGCTATGTACATCATCTTCATCTTTTATTGGAAACATGTACATATTTTTCATTGAGGCAAGTGGGTATTTTGAGAACAAAAATAGACATTTGTATGCTGTTTAGGAAAATAATGTACATTATGCCATCTTCAATCATGAGAACTGATGGCCATATTAATTTGATATTCTTGGCCCGAACTCACAAAGGAGGCTTAAAGGAGAATAAAAGTTAGACAGTCACATGATTTCAGTGAATGGAGAAGAACAACAAGACTTAACAGTAAAAGTTTGAGCAAATTTGGATAATCCGTTTTCGAGTTATGTATTTTTGAAGTTTTAGAAAATCCTTATTATGGACTTCCTTAAGTTGGCAACTTCGCCAGAATTTGTAATGTCATTGTGCTCAACTCTCCATTGGTTATGTACAGAGAGTTTCACTTTTTTCTAATTTTCATCAAAAATAATATTTCCGCCAGTGTATTTTGTTTTTGTATGACATGGCTACATCAATTCTGCAGTATGTCTGAAAGAATCAATACAATTGCCCTTTTAATATTTTATAAAAATAAAATGTTGTGAAACTCTCTGTACATAACCAATGGAGAGTTGAGCACAATGACATCACAAATTCTAGCGGAATTGCCAACTTAAGGAAGTCCATAATAAGGATTTTTTAAAACTTCAAAAATCCATAACCCAAAAAAGGATTATCCAAATTTGCTCAAACTTTTACTGTTAAGTCTCATTGGTATTCTCCATTCACTGAAATCATGTAAATGTCTGACTTTCATTCTCCTTTAAGCCTCCTTTGTGAGTTCGGGCCAAGAATATCAAATTAATATGGCCATCAGTTCTCATGATTGAAGATGGCATATAATATATAATTGGTGTATAATTTGCGCTTAATTTAGCGTGTATGCTGAGAAAGGTCCAATATGAAGGCACGCTGTATGGCAAAGGGCGCTCAATTCATGCTTGTTGCTATGATTTTAAACCATAGCTTAAAACCATGGCAAAAATCATGAATTTCTAGTACTTTGCCAAAAGCGTGCATTTATACTGGATCTTTGTCAGCTAATCATACACAAAATCTGCATAAACCATGGTCTAAACTTAAACTTCCTTTGTGAATTCCGACCATTGAGTGTGTGACCCTCAAATCGAGCAGAATTGCATCAAAATATCATCAGGTTAGATTTAGTGTGCATTTTGTTTACATTTTCTATGTTACAATGGACATGTTTGAAATAGACCCCCCCCCCCCCCCCCGGCACAGTTTTAGCATTGTTATAGCACATCTGAAAGAGCACCTCAAAGTGGTCTTAGGGATCCCGTTAGAATTTGGTTTAGATGGTTGATTGGAAGGCTTCTCTTCTACCCAACCAGAAGAGCGACATGTTATGATCCTTGGACTGTGATTTGTATTTTTCTGCACTTCACACTATTTGCAATATGATATCTGATCATGCCAATCATTTATTTTTTTAGAAATGTGTTAAATTATGTTTTGTATGTGTTTAAATATGCCAATCACATACAAGTCATGTGTTGCAGTAGGTTCTATGCCTCCAGATTTTAAAGGTTTTCATTATTGGTTTGAGCCAAAATAATCTTTGTAAAGGAATGAAGAATGCAGGTGCCCTTTTCTTTAGGCATCTATACAGGGTGAGTCAGAAAAAAAAAGTCCACTTTCAAAAATCTATATAATCTCTAATGTATGTTATTCTTCAAAGACTGTGGTATGTCCTAAAAGAGTATCTTCCTCTTTTATTTGGTATAAATTTTATCAGGTTTATAGCATGAATGTCATGCTTGTCTATACAGGAGGCCCTTTTTTTTTTGAGAGAGAGAGGAAATAAAATTTCACCTGCGCCAGAAGTGGTGGCATGTCGATCATGAATTAGCAATAAATGATATACCTCGGTTAAACATGACTCTTTACGATTTCATATCATGGGGGGGGGGGGCACCCCGTAGGCTATATAGTTTTTTGTTACATTTTATATCTTTGTTACTCACTGAAGTTTGCTTTTATTGTTTTCTTGTTGATTAAGCTCCTTGCAGATCAGTATTTACATGTTTGTAATTGGTAATGATAAATGAACCCTTTTAAAACTACAAAATGTTGCAGTTGTTTGTTAGGCCATATAGTTTTTGTTACATTTGATATATTTGCTACTTACTGAAGTTTGCTTTTATTGTTTTACTGTTGATTAAGCTCCTTGCAGATCAGTATTTACATGTTTGTAATTGGTAATGATAAATAAACCCTTGAAAAACTACAAAATGTTGCAGTTGTTTGTTTGACTGACTTGTGTATCTGTAAAATTAAAGCAGGTGCCTGCAGCAGTCACAAGATTTATTTTTTTAGTGTGTGTTTTGATGGTAACTTGTACATACACACTCTAGCATTAAGGTCTTACAGATTTTTCATGAACATGTTTGTAGGATTTCTATAGGATATAATTTAAATAATTTCATGAGAAATTTCATTTATTACACACAAATGTTATAAAACAGATTGGCTGTAAATTATGAATCATGCTATAAAATTACAGAATTTCTCGAGACTTCTGCAAGCACCCTGCCCTTTTTATTATTTTTTCATTCCGTTATAATTTTTCTATTTTTTATTTTTGTTTATTTTTTATTCATTTTTTTTTTACATGCCGATTTTCTGTTTCAAAACAGATGGACTGTAGATTTTGAAGAGAAATATGTAGTCAAATTAAAGCACTCCTGTAAACCTTGATTCAGGCACTCCTCTGTCTTTATTTTAAAGATAAATTTCATGTATCACAGATGGCTTGTTATTAAAAAGATGAGCTGTAAATTTTGATAGTAGATCTGCTGCAAAATTACAGGAGTTCCTTGTAGTTCGGCAAGTTATCTTTCTGTTTTTTTAAGAATAAATTTCATTTATCATATGCAGATTTGCGGCTAAAAAACAGATGAATTGTAAATTGTGAAAAGAAAAATGTGGCAAAGCTAAAGGATTCCTGTAAACCCTGAATCAGACACTTTTCTGTCTTTTTTTTTTACAAAAATGAAATGTTATAATCACTTACAGATTGTATGTTATTAAACAGATCAGCTTTAAATTATGGTTACAAATATGGTGTAAAAAAAACTGGAGTTCTCTAGAGTTCTGGAAAAATATATATATAAAAAACAGAAAATTTGTATTTATCACCTCCATATTTGCTGTTAAAAAACTGATGACTTGTGAATTGTGATAACAAAGTTCTGTAAAATTACAGGAGTTCTCGAGACTCTGCTGCAGGCACTTTTCTGTATTTTTATGGAGAATTTTTTTAACAGTGTAGGGACCTACGTAATTAAGACATATTTGACAGTAATGACGATTAATACCCCACAAAAGGCCACTAATATAGCTGACCGACAAGGTTTTGATCCTGGGGGCTTCGCGGTTACTCGGCCATTGCTTTGCCACTGAATCATGACTGTTCGCAGCGGGGGCTGTGGTAGGGGGCAGCCCTCTCAATTAAAAAAGAAAATGCAATCAATTATCAATAATTCATTGCATTTTCCACCGGTCCCCTACGGAAAAATTCCTCTGCACGGCCATGCATTCTGGTTCAAGGCATGGCCACCTTTATGACAAACAGTGTACATGCATTAATCACAATCCTTATGGCAGACAACTAGTAATTGTTTAGGACTGCAGCTGCTGCTGCTGTTGCTATAAAATGATTCCATATGCATCTAATAAATAACCCACATCGCGGTTATACTGACAGATTTTTTTTCAAACAGTAAACCGATTAAATAGATTACATGCAATGTATTATTAAAAATTTAAAACATGCATTTTGACAAAGTTATTACCATGATGAACAACAATTATTGTGTTCAGTGCTAATTGATGATCTTTTTCTGTTTAGCAACTATTTTTTTCGTTTACGACTGATGATCGGAAATAATGAATGTCATATGAGCAATTATATGTATTAAGTGAACTGGTTAGTAATCACCCATAAGTTTTAGAACTTAAAATACGATATCAAACAATTATTTAATAATGTTTCTACAACAAGACCATGCATACTCTTATATATGGAGGAAGAAATAAAACTGTTAGAGCTACATTATGTTCGAAATTAAACATATTTTTGTAAAGGATGGAGTGAGAAGGAGAAAAGGAAAGATAAATCGTATTGTAAGGTAGAGAATATTGCGAAACAAAACACAGGTGTACAACTTTTTAGTTTAAGGTTAATATTCCAAAATGTTATTATAAAAATTGAAACCATATTTTGGTTTATGTTCTTGGGGGTTTGCAAATGATCGACTGGCATATTTTCAAAACGTTTGTATTAATATACATTTCAGTAGAGGTTGACTCTCCTGAGCAAAATCTATGCGATTACCTTTAATTACCGTTACATACTTACGCGTCTTGCTTAGATTGTTTTTTGATGAGTTGGTCGGTTTCTTCTTCGGTCCCTCGTTTATTTTACTAGCTCGCCCTTTGTCGCACAGAGCTTTATTTAATTTTCTTCTACGACTTGAACTTCATTGTCGTGTTTTGGATTTTCACCCGTTGTCGTGTTTTCACTGTAAATCTTGAGTTCCAGTTCTGTCTCAGTTTTGTCGGCGGGCTCAGTTGACTTGCCATGCTCGGATGGCTTTACACGCCCTTCATGCTTCTCATTATTTTCCTGCTCGTCCTGATTGTTTTGTTTACCATTGTCTTTGTCTTTCTTGTCATGCTTCTTCTCTTTCTTTGGCTTGTCAAGCCTTTCATGCTTCTCAGGATCGACTTTTATGTCCTGATTGTCTTGGTTGGCAGGCTTGTCATTCTTTTCTTGCGTTTTCTTTTTGTTTGACTTGTTTCGCGGGCTTGGTATAAAACCTGTTAATTGAGAATAAATGGGGAATTATATGTAGGAAATAAAATACTGAGGTATTTAATATAGGCATATGAAATAGGGCATTTTCCTGTAATAACCCAATAAACAGAACACCAAAAAGTAACCTCTTTTGGGAGTGTATTTTAAGTGATTTTAAAGTATAGTGCCT